GTGAGGCCAGATGTTAGGCTGGCCGACGGAGCCGCCCAGTGCCGACCCAATCACAGCGCAGCGTGCGGGGCCCCGAGTTGACGCCTCTCTCCCTTTGAGTCTCTCTAGACACAACCCCTATACCAAAGACATAATTTATAGGTGAAACCAGTATGGCCCATCACATTTTAATTCATTTCTATTCAATGTCAAGAAAATTTTGCAGTCTTAAGACTTTGTGCAGACTGGTACAATTTCTAATCATCAAAACATACCACAGAAATAAATATAATTTTTTTTCAGCATACCAAAATATGTACCTCAATACAACACTGCTTAAAAAGTGGAAAGTGCTGCATAGATTAACACTAAGAATGATATTAACTATAGGACTAGTATTGTAATAATCTAGAAATTGATCAACAGATCAACCATAGCTGCTACCATTGAATGACTCCTCAGGCTTGATAGATGAAAACTAGCGCAGAGCACCAAAACTTGATTGTAACTTGGTTCCTAAAATACGTATATCAGACAGCATAGAGATCTCAGACAATTGATACACTTACTTCATCTAGAATGCAATAGCCACGACACAAAAAAGGGAGAGGGAATGTTGAGACAGCACTTAATGCTGGAAAAAGTCAAAATGAGTAAGTACACAGAGAGGCAATTAAACCTCCATCCTTTTCACTTGTAACCAAATATGTTTAACAATATGGCCTCTAGAATATTGAGACTGAAGTGCTCAATGCTCATGCTGTAACATAGATACAGGCAAAAAAAAGCAAAGATACCTAAAAAACAAAAGTGCTTGAGTAGAAACAACAAGCAAATTGGAGAAATGGATTTACTTAATTTAGCCATATTAGTACATATATTGATGTACATTTAATAATAACAACAATAAATACAATAATGCTAAGATTATAGTGTAAAAAATCATTGACACATTGAGGCTAATTATTTAACACTTGGGCCACATTTATGCTGTCATTTCATTACAAAAACCCTGATGATCATAACATCACAACCAAAAGCTCTTTCAGTTAAAACAATTAGAATGACACAAGTTAGAGATAAATTGTATCACAGAAGAACACACTATTGGTCACCTAAGTAAAGACAAGTGTTTTCAATGGGTGACATTGATGACAACTGAGATATGCAGGTAAACTGCAGTCTTGAGCAAGGATACAAACTGGGTTTTGATAAGAGAGGTGCATTCAGACTTGTTTCACAAGAAAACTACAACAAAAAATTAGATATTTACAACTGCAAAGGGCAATTTGCTAAAAACAATAGTGTTTGGTAAGCAGTTAAACAGAGCATAGTTACAGATGAAATATATGATCCTAATCACATCTTTGGAAGGTAAAGTATCAGTAGGCAAAAACCTAGATAGATTATAATATTTAAGGTATAATATTGCACAAAGAAATAGTAATGATTCCTTAACCAAATCATAGAATATTTTTTTTGTTGGTACTGCTGAATTTCTCACAAAAGATTAAAGAGTAAGATTACAAAACAAGATTGATATTTGAAATTTTTGTGTATTGCACTAGTATATGAATGACTTGTATGTTGATTGCCATCCTGTAACAGTAGTCCATGCTGGAAACTGTCGCACTAGGTCCTTGAAGGGTTGTGACTGCTGGTGCGGGCCATGAACAAAGTGGCTGGTCAGTGCGATGTCAACTACAGCTTCATTCCAGCCCTCCGGCACCTTAAAGAACAAAAGCAGGGTTGTGGAATGCTGATCGAAAAGTCACTGGCAGAACAAGAAAAGACAAGGATAATTATAATAATACTAACTCGAAGATCCAGAGAGAAAACCCAGGCTTTTGGTTTGTCTGCGTAAGAGAAATACACAAAGTAAGTCTCTCGTCCTTTCCATTTAGGACCAGCAAGAGGAGGTTCCTCTAAAATGCTCCACCGAAGTAATTCAGCTTCCTTAACAGGTGATATCATCAGACCCATGTGGTCAGGGCCTGTTACATTAAAAGTTAATCTCTGGACGGACTGAGACAGTTTCTCACGGGATAAAATGTTAAATGTAGTGTTAATAGGCACACTGATTGGTGGAGCTTCCACCCAGTGAGTTTTCCTGAAAAACAAAATTAGATTAGATCAATAAGTCTGACTCAAATATTATGTGGATGAAAATTCTCAAACACTTACCAAATGAAAGATAGAATGGGTATGAAGTAAGGCATACCACAATATAAATACTTGTCACAGTCAGTGGTCACAGGTTGTATCCTATCCATCTCAGGTACAATGCCTCGCACAGTATGAGGACTATTAATGTCTAAATCCACAATCCAAAATCCAGTCTCTCGATTAATTAGGTCCCCTTTGATGTCATGGAATGATCTCTCCGCATGCTATCCATAGATTTAAGACGCATTATGTAATTACAAGAAGTGAAGGAGGCTAGTTTGACCAGGTAACTTATCTTACCAGAATAGCAAATCTCTGTTGAGCAAGGCTAGCGGGATCTCCAGAATAGGGAAAACCCAAGGGTGTAAAGATGAGTGCAAGAATAGATCCAACAAAAATACTAATCAAAAGAGTAAGTACTTGTTTTGGGTTTCGTACCAACAATATTATTGGAATCTGAAAGGAAAAAAATAATTTAAAATAAAATCCCAAAGGTTTACCAAAGAATAGAAAAAAATTGTAAAAATTACTTACAATATAACTAAACAATAAACAAAACATGACAGTGCACAGGACTGCAAGAATTAGTTCTCCATTGTTTGCTGCTCCTGTGCGGCCCATGATTGGAATAAAAAGTTGCACAGCATTCAATGTCATATATGCACACTGAACAAATGGCAGGAACATCATTGTGGCATGTAACAACAACCATTTCCAATCTAACAAAAAGAGAGGGAGCATTTAGTCTTCTTTAGCCATAACCGACAATTTTCTTATCAAAATGTACCAAATGAATATCATTTGTTTGAAAGAAACAAACCTCTCCAGTGCTGGAACACTTTGATACGAATAAGATTTCCTATGGTAGGGAAGATCACCCAGAACAACGGGATGAATCCAGACTGAACTCGGAAAAGGGTTGATAATAAGAGCATGATTGACCACACTAACTGGTAGCTGTCATAGTAGAGTTGGAATAATGTCCAAGGTGAAACAACAACCTACAATTCAAGAGAGTGGTTAAGAAAATACTTATATGAATTTATTGGAAGAAATGTAAAGCTGCAGAAGTGCTTACGTACCTTCCGTTGTTTTTGTGCTTTATACAACAGCAAGATCATGGGGAAAATCAAAGACGGCAGAACGTATAAGAAAATAATCCAAATTGGCCTGGCATACCAACTCATGGTACGACCCAATGCAGTCAAAGACAAAGCAAGAGCAACAGCCACAAAAAGAGACAGAAGCCAAGACTGTAGGGCAGTTCCAGCACAGGACAGTAATTGCTTCAAGTACTGCTTTTGTGACAAACCTAAAAAGTAAAATGTATTTTAACTTATTTAATCAGAGGTACAATGTTTTGTTTCAAAGAAATCAGAGACTTAGGTAATTAAACTACTAACCACGATTGATAGCCTCCTTCATGTTTGACATCATTGAATACATAGATAAAGCAAGTGTGATGACATTGAGAAAATCACCAGCATGAAGTGACCAAAACATAATGAAAGCGCCAAGGAAATCAAAGAAGACAATTCTCCCTTCCTTGTGCTTGCTAGTATTGCTGAGTTCTTCAGCAGAAAGGAGGCCTGATACAAGGGCTACCATGTTATCACCAGTTCTTTGTAATGATCCCAATGGTACATGAGCTGCATTGTCATTTTTAGTGTGATACACATAACCATTAAGATACCAAGCAAAATCCAATCCTGTATGACAAAATATGTGTAATAAATTCTCAGAGTGCGTCAGCTCAGACAAAATTTTAAGATAGCCAGAATTAAGAACTTTTCCTTACCAGGTACCCCTCCAAAATCTCTGAAAATTCTGTAATCTGTATCACCAGGAATGAAACCACTTTGAAAAATTTCTTGTGCAAGTGATGAGGCAAATGGATACCCAACATTTTCAGAATATATCTGTATAAAAAGAAATATGCAAATAGAATATTTAAAAGTTAAAACACAGAAAAAAATACTGTTTTTCTGCTATATGCTAACATATTTACCCTCATCAACCAGGGATGATTTGGCCCAGATTGGAACATGACTTCTCGTCCTCCAGCTCCACAGGATTCTAGATTTACAACCGCACGGATCTCTTTAGCCCATTTATGTTTTGTTATAAATCCATGGGATGCCTTAGAAAATTGCAAACAGCAAGATTAATAGTGAGGAAAAAGAGTATTGCATGCCTCAAATTATCTGGCTATTCACCTGCATAAAATTTTCCTCAGCTCCATTGAACAGCAAGACAAGATTGTGTACCAGTGGTTTATCAGCTTGAGACAAAAGTCTCAATATTTCTAACATAAGAACACAACTGGCACCATCATCACTTCCACCTAAAACAAGAAAGAAGAAACATTAAATTAGAAAATTATTTATGAGTAGTTCAGTAACTCAATGGAAACAAAATGTGTTTTTGACTGAGCATACCAGGACTATCACTGACGGTATCAAAATGACAATTCATGAGAATGCTATGGTCTGACCCTTTCAGGGAACCAATTTTCACAATGACATTCTGAACATCATGATAAACATGAGTCATTCCATCAAGAAAAGTAAGTGGAAAAGAACCACTAATTTTTTGAAAGTCAACCTCTATTTTGTGAATAGGTTTTGCTGACTGCATTGTTAAACTGATTGCATTCTTAAGAAAATTCACAGCCAAAACCTCATTTTCGTAACTGCCAGTGACTCGTGGGCCGATGTTAGTTAAGTTGACAAGTGTGTTCTTTGCCCTTTCAGCAATAAATCTTCCTGGATTGTTAGCTTCATCCTCAACCATTAGAGGAGTTGGAAGCTGCTTCTCGACATAAACAATTATTCCAAATACCACTGCCAAGCCAACCAAGAAACATATCAGATGGAACGTTGGTGTGGGCAAACCAAATTTTTGACGCCCTTTGTCATCTCCACGATGACTGGGGAGGAATTCAGGGGCATCTTTAGGTTTTCCTCGGTGTCTCACACCACGGCGGTCCTGCAATAATAAAAATAATTTAAACCTTCTAACAAAACTTTCATTGACAACAAAAGCTTCTAACCAATTAAAATGATCTTACGACAAGACATTTATTTTTACTTCTGACCACTACTGACTTTGAAAGGTAGCAGAAACCTAAATGCAAAATGTAGGCAAGACCGCTTAAGCTCAAAAATCTAAATTAGTCCTTAAGTCCATCCTTATTTTAAGGTTATGGCATTTATTTATCGAGACGTCCAAAACCGGTTGTCATGCTGACAAAGCATGAAATAAACTGCAGGAGCAAAAAACTGTTCGTCGCGCGAGGAAAGAAGGATGTGTCAGGTACATTACCGATCGCGGAGGACTCGGAGACATCTCTGACGACGGTCTCTGGGCGGCTCCGCCAAGTCTTCGCGGCTCGCTGGCCGGGAGGCGTGCGAGGCGTGTCCTTCTCTAAGTACCCATGTGGCCGGTGCTTGACCGTGCGCTCGCCTCTTTGGGTCTTATCTTTAAGTCGCCCCCCGCTGCGCCTCCCTCCTGAATGCCCTGTCTCTCTGCCGGCCCCTCCCCCTTCACCGCCCGCTCCTGCATCGCCCCCCCCGCATCGAGAATTAGTTCTCCATTGTTTGCTGCTCCTGTGCGG